CCCCCCCCGCACTCCACCACCCTCTACCATTCCTTTTTTTCTTTTTAACCTCCTCTTCCTCTTTTTCTGTTTTATTAACGTCGTCCCCTTTCGTTTTTATAAACATCCTTCCCGGCTCCCTGGACCGTTACGGCGTCTCTTTTTACTTGTCGCCCACCATTTTTTGTTTGTTTATGGTGTTATTTTATATATATATATATATATATATATAATATTGACGAACGCGGGCGCGTGGCTTTGAAAAGTGGGTTTTTGTTTTTTGATGTCCCGCAAACGGTCGTGCGCAAACCAGTCCCTATTATTATTATTATTTTTTCCTTGAAATTGCAAGTTTGACGCTTGTAACTTCGATAGCGCCGCACGACCAACAACTTGTGAGATGGCAGTGCTGCGGCGGATCGTTCCGTCACGTGACCATACCGGTATCGGGACCTAAATTAAGTTTAGCTGTTTCGCGTTTGGGCCGCCAGGCCGCGCCAAGTTTCGCTGCACAGTTGGATAGGCGCTTCTCTCCTTCGCGTGTACTCCGCTGGGTGGCGTAGCCTCCTCTCAAACTGCTGTTGTTATTAAAACACACACAAACACATAGATACATACACACAGTTACTGGCTAGGTTGCGTGAGCTGCCGCCCGATATGTAGGGTTCAGCCGTGTGGAGCCGCCCATCCATTGCGAACGTTCATCTATTACGAAGAGCGCGCGTGCAAACGGTTGGCGCGGGCACAATGGAGAACGACTGCCCCCACCGTCGCGAAGTTGTGGACATTCCCACGGAGGAGGGCTGTTGTGGGGAGCAAAGATTCGAAGATGGAGGGCTCGCTCTCTGCTCAACCCCTCCTAGGTTTCTGCATGACGTCACGACGGTTTAGAGATGGGTGACCTGTTTTTTTTTTTTTCTTTGTTTTTGTTTATGCTACACCCTACTATTTGCGACGTGTGCGACCGAAACCGTCGCTGCGGTCGAACCTTGGACGATTGGCCAAACGCGAAAGGCTGAACAGCATGCAAAGGATTTAGCCAGCGACGAGACGAGCGACAGCGACGAGAGTCAGCGACGAGCGACGGAGATTTCCCACTGTCGCTTATCGCGTCGCTCGGTTTTTTGGATTTTTAGAAAAGGACGCTCATCGCCTTGGTCGCTTGCTTCCGTCGCTTTCATGCGGTTTGCCTCGTCGCGCGACTGACCGAGCGACAGCGAACCCGATTAATCGTCACCCTCTAATGGATTACTCGGTTTCGTGCATTCCCATATATATATATATATATATATATATATATATATATATATATATATATATATATATATATATATATATATATATATATACTATATCACTTCACTCCATCGTACTGTCTCCGATATATATAACATATATATCATATATGAACCGTACTTAATCCTATGAATCATATAATCATAGTATAACCCCCTAATCCATAAATTGCTAGCCATATTCCGTCCTGAAACTTGATTCTTTATTCATTGATTAATACGTTCATTCATCTTCACTATATATATTCATATATATATATATATATATATATATATATATATATATATATATATATATTCATCTCACTATATTTATTCTATATCCTCCTCTATACCTACTATATATAAGTCCTTATATATATATATATATATATATATATATATATATATATATATATATATATATATATATATATATATATATATATATATATATATATATATATATATATATATATATATATATATATATATATATATATATATATATATATATATATATATATATATATATATATATATATATATATATATATATATATATATATATATATATATATATATATATATATATATATATATATATATATATATATATATATATATATATATATATATATATATATATATATATATATATATATATATATATATATATATATATATATATATATATATATATATATATATATATATATATATATATATATATATA